ATACCTAGCACTCCACTTAGACACGCAACTTACATGGAAACAATATAATAAATAGACAAAATACGGATAAAAAGAAGACAGATGTACTTGCTAACTAGTCGAAACTCTAAACTCAGCATAGGAAATAAACTAAGAATCTACAAAACGATAATAAAACCAATTTGGACGTACGGAATACCACTATGGGGAACAGCAGCAATAAGCCACATAAATAAACTAGAGTCGCTACAATCGAAGATACTGAGAACAACAGTCAACGCCCCATGGTATGTCAGAAACGAGGATATACGCAAAGACTTAAAAATACCAACGATCAAAGAAGAAATTGGCAGGTACGCAGTAAAGTACAAGGAAAGAATGGCAACACATCCAAACCAGCTGGCTGCCGAAGCGAGCAAAACTCTGACAGAAAGAAGGCTAAAAAGAAAACACCACACTGACCTCACTAAAGAAATAAAATAGGCAAACTCGAAGATGGTATCCTGCTGGGAGTAACCATCCATATGTTATTTAGCAATTAAGATAGAAAAATTTATCAAATGTCCAGCTGGACAAATTGTTAAGTACAAATTAAATAATAATAAAAAAAAAATTTTCTTACATGGAACTATACACATATATTTTAGTGTATCAATCGATCTATGTCGGTATTCCTTATAAAAAGGTATTAATTTATTTATATCGAAGAACTATTAGTTTGGCAGATATTTGTAATATTTTGTGAAATTAAATAGATGAGAGACAAGAAAAGACACGAAACGGTATTCTTCGTTTGCACTGTTTACATTGTTCTTGTCTTTCATACGTTAAATCTGATAATTTAAAGTTAAAATTAAACTAGTTACTAATTAGAAATTAAAGTTAAACTAATAAAAGCTAAACGATTTTTGTTCAAACATTTTTTCCATGACTTTAATCCCTCGTAAGATGAATATTAGAATTACCGTTTTCAGTTAAACGAGACATCTATCGGAACTTAACTAAAGAAGAATTTAAAAAAAATGGTAGTGAAAGTAGATTTAAAAAACTACTCGTTAATATTTACATTTACATTTAATGAAATTAATAGATATGGTAATGAGTTATTTCTGTACATACATATGTACATTACTTCCTTTCAGTTTTCCTTTATTTATCATAATCTTTTTTCTCATCCCAATTGACTACTTTCACTAAAAACAATTTGCTTCTGTTCTTAGCTTTTACCTTATAAGCGCTGGTAATTTTTCCATCTATTTACTTCCAACTTCCTGTGTTCTTTTTATAAAATAAAACCTGCTTTATAAACATAATATTTCTAAGAGTATTTCAAAGTGATTCTTCGAAATATGTATTATTGTTTAGAAATACAAATAAATAAAGGAAGTAAGAGAATTAAAGAAACGCATTATACTACTTCTTCTAAAGAATCATGTTTCTAAAAAATTAATTTAAAAATTACTGGAATATCTATACGTGATACGTAAAATTTAACGTGAATCTTCGTTATACATATTCAATGCCTATCATCTCTACGCATAATAAATAAAAAGCTAGTTTTACTGCTAAAAGAAATAAAAGCTTCTAGTTAAAATAAAGATACATGTTGAATTATGAAAACTTCGGAAACGAAATTGCGATTAAAAATTTGCTAAAAATTAAAGTCTGTAAATAATTAAAAACAGCCATAAACAACATTTCTATATTACAATCATCCTTTCATTCCATCCTCTCTCCTCGAATAATCAAAAGTTCGATTAACCATAAATATATAATATAGCAACGAGCAAGAAAATGTTTACAATCGATACTTCCACGAATATGTATTGGTAACTTTTATGCTAAATATGTTGTATCCTATTGACAATAGTTGTCTATTCTATGATATACATATAACTTACCTAGATCTCTTTATTTCTCATATCAAATATAACTCCGTTTTATAAAATCATGTCTTCTTTGTATCGTTCCTCTTTTAAGTTTCCTTTTGTATAACATTGTCCATATATGTAATAATTAGATCAGATGTTTATGTTTTTAAGAGAATTTAAAAATGAAATTATATAAAAATTGATGAAATATCAAGAAAATATCATTATTTCGCTCATTAATTATTTTGGAAAAAGAAAGGTCAAGTTGAAAATCCATCATTAAATAAAATTAGAGAAACAAAAGAGTAATTATTCGAAATAGGGGCCTTGTCAATTACAGTGACCTTAAAATGTGTTGTCAAAGTCAATATTTGCATTTAGTTAAAGTTTTTAACGAATGTCTTGGAAACTAAGGCCGTGTCAACAATAATAACAATAATAATAAAAAACTACGGCCAAGCAACAGTTGTATAGGAAACGGTACGAATAGGGAAAAATTGTTCAGACTGTTGATTTTGACAACACATTTCGAGATTATTGAAATTGGCGAGGTTGCTTCTATTTCGAATAATGATCGATTACCAATAAAAGGAAATAAAGCAAATATAATTCATCAATTCAAATTACATTGCTACCAAAATTACAATGCAAAAATGTACGGGATGTACATAACATACAAAAATATATAAAATATCCGAAACTATGGTTACAGTAACATTTAATGTTTATATTACATGTTTTTAATTATCGATAGATTATTGTAATTATTTAATCTCGATTATATTTTTTTTAATCCTATGTACTAAAGTAAATTAAATTTCTACAATAAAATGTATTTTTTATAATATCTAACAGTTAAAATCTCTATATGAATTTTATAAAACTAAATTTCCATAAAATTAAAATTGCATAAACATTAGTTCGAGAGTAACAATTAACAACAAATATCGACAAACATATTGGAGCAGAAACATGTATGCAATACAATAGCAGTGCAACTACAATTAGACGCATCTTAATCTCGAATGATTCGGGGTTCGGTAAGAGTAAGACGTCAATCAGGATAAGCGAGTCTGCAATATGCAGCGAGCAATGGAGACTGCTTGTTGTAAAGGCTGGTTCAGACGCGGCCAGTACATTAACCGAGTAGCAAGTAAAGCCGAATTTACACTGTTTCGTCGCGGGCGATCATTGCGGATGATTCATGAAAGAAAAGTCGTTTTCATTCTCGTTTTATTCGCAATAATCCTCTAGAGTGAACGGGTTAAACTCAACTTTACTGACAGCTCTCTAGTAGTTTGACTAAACTACTGTCCGTGTGTGAACCAGCCTTAAGACGAACGCCTCGAAGGTTAAATGGGATCAACGCCGCGTTGTTCCTACTTGCCGTTAAATTACACTATGCCCTCACGTCCTTTCAATTGTACATACGAATCATCGATGTCACTGTACGTTAATTCAATTTGGATGGAATGAAAGAAAGAAGAAGCCACGGCACTAACCGCACGATTCACTGTCCAACTAACGACTCGTATCGCGCATAACTCGATCATGAAACAACTGGGTTAGCAATTTGGCGGCATGGATCGTTGATCGTCGACACAGGCAAGAGACGCCCACCGTGCATTATCAGAGGGAAAAATATGGATTTGACGAGAAGCAGATGTTACTTTTCACCGATAATCAGCACTCACGCCTAAAAGCTTACGCCGTTACGCTTTTAGTCGTTGTTTTAAATGCGGCTGCATTGCGCATCACGAAACGAAGTAACCAAGTGGGAGAAAAATCTGATCGTCGATATTTCAGCGAAATCGATGTAAACGATCTCGATGTGGTTCCGTCACGGTTTTCATTTCTACGAGGAATTGCGTCTACGCTTATCCTGCTTTTTACAGATGCTCACCGTAAAGTTATTTTAATAGCTGAAAATGTTAAACTTTTGCCCTTCTTGGATATATTTCTTCTTAATATTTACAGTTTAAGGCACAGACTGGAATGATTTGAGGACTTTATGACAATTTTTTCAGTTTATTAAATATTTCTTTTAAATTGTAACATGTCATTTTCGGTATATTTCTTGTTGCCATTTTAATTTTAGTTGGAGGATGAGAAAGAATTAAAGAGCAAACACGCTTGGAAGTTGCGACAATCTTTTCAAGTATTTTTCATATTTTAATATGGTTCCAATATCTTTTGTGTCGTTTGTATGTTAAACGAGAGAAGATTCCTTTCAATATATATGTTGCTTTTTTGTACTTTAATCTTAACGCGAGAAAAGAAAAGAATTGGAAAGTATATTTATACTTGTAGATTACGCGACTTGTAGATTTAAATATTTTAAATCTTTATGTCAGCACCTAATTAATAATTAAAAATAAATCTTTTCAACCGTAGAAATATTTATACATATTTCGAAATGTGAAAATGTTTATAGGAACCTTTTATTTGTTAAATAATAAGTGGAAAAATTATAATCAAATCTTTCGATACGATAAGTCTTTCTCATATCGGAAAGGTCAAGTATTTTACCTTTTTTCCTGTTTATCAATTTTTTAATAATAATTGTGCGAGCATTGCTGCAAATAAATAAAGATATAAACAAACAATTACATTAATGGAATGTTTGTGTATTCAACGTTATAATATGATTATTTAAAATAATTTATTCTAGAGAAAAATATATATAGGTAAATAAATGAATCCATAAAGAAGAAAGTAATATCGTGGGGATTATCTCCAGATCCGTTTATCCAGGAAATTAAATATCATTTTTTATCAGTAACGAACATACGAAGCTGCGTTTGGAATAGGAAGATATAAAATTAATTAATTTTTGCTGTATTCATGAAACAACTTCATTGTATCGAAAAGTTGTATTCTTCGATTTAATTTGCGTTTTTGTTTCTGAATTTCTTAAATTTCTTCTGCAATAGTAGTCGATAATCATTTAATTAAATAAGTTATATGTATACATAAAACTAATTATTATATATTAACAATCAAAATTAACATATAGCACTAGAATGATAGTAGATAACTTGTCTGAGATAAGAAATATTATACTACAATTCCTTTAGTGTGTTATACTTTCTACTATAAAATACGAGTATATCTTACACAAGCAATATCTGTGTCTATATATAAAGGGACATGGAAAAAATAGAGGAAAGACTAGACGGAAGAGAAGAGGAAGTGATGATCATCGGCGGAGACTGGAACGCAAGAACGGGAGAAGAGGGAGGGTCGATAAACGAGGACCTAGGGAAAGAAAAAAACAGACGATCGAAAGACAAGACGATAAACGTGGAAGGAAGAACACTGCTAAAGTGTCTGGAAGAGAGAGGCTGGACGATAATCGATGACAGAGATAAAGAAGGGGAGGAGTGGACCTATATCGGGGAGAGAGAAAACTCAGTAATAGACTATGCGTTTGGCAATCAGGAGGCGACAGAAGAAATAATCGACATGAAAGTAGGAAAAAGAACAGAGTCGGGCCACATGCTGTTAGAAATAGAATATATCTATTATATATATGATACCTAATCAATAACCTACGATGCTAGGATGTTAATTAAATTACAGCAAAGACAGAAATTATTGTATCGCAATATGGCATTACAACTTTGTAACTGCGTAACATCAGTAAGTGAAGACGAGCAGAAAAATATGAATCGACTCCATGAGAGATCGTGTCAGAGCATTAACATCAGGTTCAACGCTGCAACTGCAATCGTGTGTGTAAGATGCTGTGGCTGGTCGATGAGAGCTCGTCAGTGGTAAATTGGACGTATCAAGCCACATACTTTAACCAGTAGTCCTACTTAAGCTATAGTAGAAAAAGCTATGAAATGGTACACTCGGAGCTTTCATCGAAACATCAGATTTTCTCTATGAATGCAATCAATCGCATAATAGTGCTTTATGTTATATTTTAATCACAACCATACAATTAAATGATAAATCAGATGATGCATTTAGAATATCACATGATATGCACCGATCTATATAAATCTATATATATATCACAAACATCGTATAAAATACATACAATTTAAGCACTAAATAATTTAAATGAAATATTGATGTTCGTGAAATATTACAAAACATATTTTTTATTTGACTATTTTAACGCGGTCAGTATACATTAAGCAAGTCAATCATTAAGCATTTTTATGATCCTACTCATATATCTTTGTAATATTATCAGTTTGTTACTTATACTTATGATACGTCTATTATCTAAGCTTTCAATGGAGGAAAACCTAACACAAAAATAATAGTAATAGAAAAATATATATTTCGTTTTAATTAACACGGAAAGAAAATTACTACAGACCTTGTTAACATTTCACTTTCGAATTAGATTAACAGTTTAATATCTATAAAATATATTTTATAATGTTCGTTCGTTCGAAAAGGAGTTCTCTGAATTAGAAGTATAATTCATGTAAAACTCGTGTTTAGAAGCGATAGATACAAAATAGAAGAGCAACCGATGAGGTAATTGGTTTAAAAATATATCGTCGGCAACTGTGGCCAATTTTACTTAATGCTTCTGTATTTCGAAAATGATTTCCGTCTTTCCGAATATCCTGATAAACATTCATATATTACACCATTTGTATTTGTAGCATAACGTTTCACACATATTGTTATGACTTTAGAGTATTATTTTCATTAATTTTTTAAATATTGCTACCGAATTACAACTCTAGAACTTTTTTTCTTTCAAACAAATTTTAATAAACTTTTTCGTATTGCAATAGTTTATTTATCCTCCACTTTTCATTTTTAACTTGTTCTTCATTTTTTATTTTTTATTTATTCTTCGTTCGCTTTCAAATATTACAAAATTTACAAGAAAGTAATTTTAGTAATTTTGATTTTACCGGGTTCATGGAAAATATTCTAATGGATATTAAATTTAGAACAATGTTTAATATATATGAATGCATAGAGAGTTATTAAACGTTTCTCGTCAATATTTATCGTAAAACATCGAAGAATAAAGAATTAATGCAAGTGATAGGTTATTCTACTATTGATTATACCATGATTATATTCAATACATCAATATATTATTGATTTTTTTTTTATAAACTACTTTTATATTCAATCGCTCTTATTTTTGTTAATTAAATATATACCAGTACTTTATCTTCGTCCCTTCAAAATTTATTTTTTTCTTTTCATCACACATTGCAGAATTTTATGAAACTTTTTATCATTTATTAAATGCATTAATTACATTTTTTCTTTATTGCAATTTGTGCGTTCGTTATAGTCGTTTACTATAAATTCCAGCGTAAAATTAGCTTACTTTTCAATTTATTTCGTTACAATTTCCCATCACCTACAAATATATTCGATCTAGTAGTACCAGTACAAGAACTTGACGAACACATACAGACGTGAATTTAGAAAATACGCAAATAGTCGCATTATATGCACGATCATTTCAAAACCAATTGGAAACAAAAGTTCGTTTTTACACGGCTTCGTTGTTTCTTCGCCCATATCAGTCGCAATTCGGACATTTTCCATCGCTTCGTTCCAGCTCTTTTCACAATTCAATTACCCCTACCCTCCCTCCTCCTACATAAACATTTCGTGTCCATTCGCAATTATTGTTTCATGCTGGACTACGTGCGGTTTCTTTTTCGCTTCTGTCTTTTTATTGCTCGTCGAGAGTGACCTTCGACTGACGAGCTCGCAGCGAGATTTGTCTGTTTTAAAATAGCTCGTTTGGTCGCCGCATCTCAAATTTCACGCGAATTCTGACGGAAGCCGATACTCGTGGCGCATGCCTTTCGTCTGCCTCCATCGCGCGTTCCTCTTCTTGTACCATATACCATTCAATCGGCTTCGGATTTAAACGCGAAATGAAGGTGCGCACGCATGTGGAAAGTATTGATATGCGAACAACATATATCCAGTAGGACACGCGCGCACAGTACACGCACGTTGAAATATATCAGCAATTGTTTAAACGTTGAACACACGCTCCGATTTCGACCGAACATAATGGCTGAATCTAACCCCAATAAACAGCAAGTCAGCTTCAGGTATTTGTACCGTAGATTGATTTTCTAGCAATTTCTTTGAAATATTGGCGATACGTTATTTGCTATATTAACTATAAGCGATTGAATTTTTAGAAAGTCTAACTTTACCGAAGTGTAGATGTTGAAATTTGAAAGTTATAACATATGATCTCTACAGTAAGCCGCTGCAAAAATGAGTTTGATTAATTCCGGAATAGCCGTTCTTACGAAGCTGTTCAAAAATTAATAGGTTGTGTAAAATTCTGTTTAAAAGAAATTTTAGTTCCAACTTCGTCACTTTCTAATAAAAGTAATGTGAAATATGTAACATGGGTAATTTCGGCGTCTAAATTGTTGCATACATTGTAGCGTGATGTTGCTGTTCTCTCCATTTCTGAATTGTTTGTTAGCATGCGCGCGTAGAAAATAGTCAAGACATTTCTTCCTAAAGAGAGAATATCAGTCAGGCATGAAAAATATGGTTTTCGAATCTCGGTGTGTTTTACTTTGTGCGATATTGTCGCGTTACAAATATCTTAAGCAATTTATGTAGAAGTTATAATTGTCCAGTCATATATATATGTAATTATAGATAATATATAATTATATATATATATTTAAGTATATATATAATTAAAATAGTCATATATATATATAACAATGTTGTAATAAAATTTATTGAAGATAGAATTGATTACTTGGATTCATCATTTAATAAAATAAAAAAGCCTATTAATACCAAGACGTCAAATAATATGTTAGATTTTTCATTCGGAGTTGCAAAACTATTTTATATTTGTTGATGCCATAATTTGTTCACAATTACCACTTTATAGAAAACTAAAAGGAACAACTATGAAATTACTTCTATTACCAAATTGGAATTAAATAAGCAATATGACAAATTCTAGATAAATGCATAAATATAAAAAGTGAGAAAAAATAACTGAATATATAATAATTATTTAATCAGAAGGTTTTTGATGTAGGATTATAAAAAGATTCTATTTTATGTAATATATTTGTTCAGGTTTCTTTTTTAGTAAAACAATGAAAAGAATAACGTGGAATATCCGATAGATAATATTATAAAATACTTTACAACGATAAATTTTGTAATTTTTCAATAAGGAATTATTTTTGCCAAATTTTTACCCAGACACACTACGAAAAAAGATAAAATGAACAATTATTCGACTCAGAAAAAAAGCGGAGGAAAGTAATTAGAAAAGATAAAACGAACTTTATAGTCAACGATGAAAATATTATTTTTAGGAAACGTTTGATATACATTAGCCAAAATAATTGTAACAGTATGAATAGCTTTTCCGAATATTTGAAATGATATAAATAGTTTGTAAGTGAGTCAAGTGGCATGCAAGTGTCTTCCGCAGTCTGAAGAAAGGGAAATGACAAGCATCCGACGAATTGGCACTGCTGTTTTAATTCAAGACAGACTCAAGTACATACTTACAGTAGTATTCCCAACTATTTATATCTTACGATAATATCAATAATTTTTATCGTATAGATACCATAGATTCAAGCTTTCTCCAAATATTTGGATAAAATGTCTAAGCAAAGCAAAAATAATTTTACTCCGAAGTTATTTAAATACTCTGAATTGAATTAAAATATTTCTGCTCCTTATATTATAATATTTATAATTAACGCGCGGCTCAATCTATTATATTAAAAAATAATTTCCCTTAAGGATCCCTTAAGGATCGATGTTAATTAAGTTGTAAGTGTATTTTTAATTATTTAAAATTTATAGATAAGAGGACTTTATTGTTAAAACGATTTTCTAAACATTAAATAATTTACATTGATCTACACAGCCAATGCCCATTTATCACTCAAGTGTTCATTATTAAAGTAGAACAGAATGAAAGCGCTCTATTGAAAGAACGAATTGAAATAATAATTCTAGAGAAAATAAAGCAGTTAAGAAACACTGATTCTTTGATCAATTATGTATTTACAACCACGAACTCTTTTTAATGTATCCTAAAGTTTAAAAATTACAATTTTTCCTTCATGAGAATATTGAAACAGGTACCTATAATTTTCTCATTTTCAACGTTGTTTCACAAATTTTATCAAATGAAAACTCAAAGTGATTGCATTCCAATTACGTCTAAACCAATATATATGGTATACTATAATTATTTCTTTTATAATATACAGATTAGTCTGAGAATTCTCCAAGATCACATTATATATACTGCACGCTTACCATTTACCAATTTATTCATCATCAAACAGCTTCAAAGAGACCATCCGTTAAAAATGCACTCTTCTCAAAATTTCTCATCTCAACATAAAAATTTATCCTCAACTGGCATCAGAACGACAGAATGTAATCATCATGGAACCACAAGTTGACAATTTATTAACAGCACCAAAACATCTCTCGTACCACGCTTACCGATTATTCTCTCTCGTACACCAAGAAGAGCTTCGAAGCACGTGGATCGGCTCACTAGTATCCTCGTGTGTCACTGCTCAGATCCAATCAGCTGAGATTTTCGCGGTCACTAGCATGATTTTCACTAGGATTTTCATGAAGACGAACGACAACGATGTTCTCGATGTCGATGGCGCCGAGACTATTAGTTCACTG